GAAGTTCCCAGAACAGTCGATGACAAAGCTGCCGATTCATCTAACGTAAAATCAATAAAAAAGAAGCTTGGATTTCTTCAAAAAATATGTAATGGAAAATACAATTAGATGCGTTAATTATAAATACCAGACGTTTACACAGCTTCTGAGGCATACAACTAGAATTATCATTTTTTAAAAATGCATAGCTTTTAAAATACAATATCAAACCAGACCAAACAATTAGATTCACTACGATAAAGGCGTTAGTTAATAAGGGTCTGACAGTGTGCTCTGATCTCAATATCATAATATTCTTACTTGTGACTCATCACTTCTCAAACTGTCCTTTATTTCGTTCTGATCGGTTTTCCGGTTTGAGTCTTTACAAGGAAGAAGTGAATCATTCACAAACACGCATATGAAAAATTCAAGTTGATTTGGAGAATAGTTTAAATGAAGCTAAGATGCAGTTGATCTTTGTCCAAGAACTTGTTCTGCTTCCATTCAGTGATAACTCTGCAATAGGCAAAAGTTGAATGTTTACAACAATTATTGAGATAAGCTGAGAAATCGACTTAAAATTATAGAAAAAAGATTCATTTCTTTCTTCAAAGATTGGAAGCAATGGAAATTAGCAAAAATCATTCTGTTTTAGAGCATTGAGTGAATGCTGGACTACTGCATTTGCTGTTCACATAAGTTTTTGTTGAAAATAACTGCTAGAAGAGAACTCAGAACTATTTCTTTGAAATAACTCAAAATGTGCATGGTCTGTAAAAGACAAAGTGCTTGGACAGATGTGCAGCTTGATTCCAAATCCAGCATAAGTTACTTCTGTTAAAGTTATGAATCTATGAATATATTTGTTGAGTTAGAGCTCAAAATGCAATAGTAAAATAGTAATCAGCAATTCTTTTAGCTGATAAAGTGGAAATAGAAAAATGGCTAAAGCTGTCAGAAACAAAACATCATGAGTTTTTTATTCCCTCCAATATCTACCTCTTTTGTGACCTCTAAAAAAATAAAAAGAGCCTTTTTTTTGAAGGCC